CAAAAATATATTAAGCAAACTAATCGTTTTTCTAAGAATTAATTTATTACTTTGAACCTTCAATTGAACCAGCTTTTATCACTTTTGTTGTTTTTTTTCCCTCTTTCTTTGTAATGTTCGTCTTCTCCTGTTGTGTATATTATTTAATTATTTGTTAAATGTAGTGTGAGCCCCTCCATGAGCGTCCACGCTCTTGGGTAAACATTAAAGTTATTAAATATGTTTATATAAAAAAAAAAAAATTAAAAAAAATATGTGGAAAAAATCCTCTTTATTAGACTTTACAATTTTCTATTGGAAATAGGTTTTTTGTACAAGTTTCAGTCTGGATTTAGACCATGCGATTCAACAGTAAATCAATTATTGTATTTTGTTCACCAAATCTATCATGCTTTTGAAAGTGGGAAAGAAGTAAGAACTGTTTATTTGGATATTAGTAAGGCATTTGATAGAGTTTGGCATGCTGGACTGTTAAAGAAATTAGAAGCACTTGGGATTAGAAATCCTCTTTTACAATGGATTGAAAGTTATTTACAAAATAGAGTTGTTATTGATGGGCTGTCTTCTGAGTGGAAAAATATCAGTTCAGGGGTTCCCCAAGAATCGGTGCTAGGGCCCATTTTATTCCTAATTTATATCAAGAATATCACTGACGATTTAGCAACCAATCCGTTTATTTATGCCGACGACACTACTCTCCTTGAAGTTGTCAGTGATCCTGTTATTTCGACTGATCGACTAAACAATGACTTACTTAAAATTTCGAAGTCGTCTGACAGATGGTCGATGATTACGAACCCGTTTTCAAATAAAAAAGTCAAGTGTCATCATCCTTCACTTTCAATGATGGGGTGCGATATTAAGGAAGTTGATAGCCACACTCATCTTTGTTTAAATCTTCAAAGTAATTTGTCTTGGAATACTCATATTTTAACAATCTATGAAAAGGCCTGCAAACGATTAAATATGTTAAAATCGTTAAAATTTAGGATTGAAAGATCAACGCTTGCTTGTTTATACAAAAGTTTGATAAGACCAACTATGGAGTATGCAAATGTAATTTGCTCTTGGGGAAGTCATTTGCTTGAAAGTATTCAATATGAAGCAGCCAAGGTTGTTACTAGGCCAATAAAGGGCACTAGTGCTTCTAGACTTCGCGAAGAGCTGGCCTGGGAGGAATTGAGCGTAAGAAGGAAAATAAACAAATTAACATATTTTTACAAGATTGTCAATAGGCTTGCTCTTATATATCTATTTGAACTCTTACCAGATTTGGTAGAAGAGCGGGCATGTATTCCTTTAAGATCAGGACAAAACATTAGTTCTTTTATGTGTAAAAGTGAAAAGTTTAGAAACTCCTTCTTTCCTTCTACTGTTAATTTATGGAATGATCTTGACTTAGATATTAGAAATTCAATTTCATTACCAGTTTTTAAAGCGAATGTTCGGAAAGTATTTTGCATGCCAACATATAATAAGCTTTTAACTTCTCATTGACGAGAAGGGCTTCTGTTTTACATACTAGACTTAGATTAGGATTTTGTGTTCTTAACGATTATTTGTATGGAATTAACTGTTGCGATTCACTATTGTGTGAATGTAGTCGTGAAAGAGAAACTGTTAAACATTATCTTTTAAAATGTCCCCGTTTTGCTGCTCAACGAAGTGTTCTGCTTACCTCTGCTGCCCAATTATGTGGCCAAACATGGTTGGAGAGTAGTGATAGCGAAAAAGTTAGTTATTTCTTGCATGGTTGTTAAAAATTAAGTTATAAAGAGAATTGTTTGCTTTTTGGGTTAGTTCAAAATTTCATATTGAATACTGATCGCTTCTCTCTGACTATTGCTTAATAAGCCTGTTTGTGTGTGTGTGTGTGTGTGTGTGTGTGTGATAATAATTTAATGTAAATCCCCTAGATAAGCAACATCTGCTTTTGGGGTAAACATTGGTTAAAATAAGTATTAAATAAAAAAAAAGTTCAAACTTGGCATTGTTGAAGATCTGCGACGTTTCATCCTTGAGTTTCTTTTCTTCGGGAAATGCTGTTGGCTCCTGAGATAAAGTCATCCACATACATACTCTTTAAAACTTCACTAACAGTTTCTGGCAAACGATCCTGGCAAACGATAGTGGAACGAGTAAAATGAAACGAACTGACTCTTGCCCGAAATGACTGCAGCATCTCGTGTTGGATAAGTTTGTGAGATTTGTAATTGTTGGAGATTTCATGATTCATTGAATCAATGTCGTGTTTGACATTTCTTTACAGGGGAAAGTGTAGGGCCCCTGCCCAGAGTTGTATGATTACGCAAGAATCACGCGTGGAACACTCGCGGGACAATATAGATTAACAGTTGCTTCGAGCACATGCAAAACGAGAGTTTATATAGTTCAAAATTTTGTTAGTAATAAAGTATATATCTTTTGCAATCGTTATGTTCCAGACGTGAAGGGAAATAGGAGTACCATTATTACATGTATGTGCCAACAACAATCCACACTGGGTTGCTATAAGAAAATCTTTGTACAAGTCAGATAATTTTTCATTCGCATATAATTGTGTGCACGATACTACTCAATTGATATTCCCAAAATAACAATATCAATAATAGACTATCACTGTGATTATTTATAGCTTGATGTATGATCTTTAGATTTTTTACAAACTGACAATCGACCGGCTCAAAAATTTAATAATTTCAATATAGTTAATTTATTCGTTTCAAGTTTCAACGGGGAAAATACTTCGACCATACTGTTATTTGAGATCAAACGTTCATCTTACATGAAAAAAAATTTCGATAAACAGCCAGACATGAAATTTGCCAGCCAGCTACAAAAGCCGGCTACAAAATCTACAGCAGGCAACGAGGCGTGTAGTTCATGTACTAAACGTGTTTACAAATTCAACAAAATTATTATCATGGTCCATGGTGGTATTCGTGAGGTTCAACCAGGGTATTCGGAAAGTCAAATCGCGACCAGGAGTATGTTATTTTTTTTAATTTATGTGACGTCAAAAACGTCATAAATCTGATCATCCGTACATTCGTACACGCAAAAAAAATCCAGTTGTCGTTCGGCAAATATACATAACTCGGCCAAAGAAACTGGACACACGTAAACACGGTACTTCATATTAAGAATAGTGTGCTGCCTTCTGCAGTCATGAGTCACAGCGTTCTCCTGTTAGATATATTTATTTACCAGGTTTCGGCTCCCAGATATATAGCCTACACCAGGTGAAAGAATATAAATCGAATATCTCGCGTTGCATGGTTTATAACGTTTTGGTTGGTATCAAATATGATATATTACCCACGGGCTTTTGGGGGTAATTTTTTTAAATATCATGTCAAAATTATTCCAGAGCCAACGGCGCAGAGGGTACTAATTCCGTCCGGCTATTTGCACCCGGGGAAAGGAGCGCACTAGCGAAGTCTAAAGTTCATCAAATATCGCGGGCGCATGGTGTATGGTTGGTCATCTCACTGATCTCAAAATATGGCATTATGGCTGTTTGCCAGGAGCGAAGAAAGAAAAAATATGAAAAATACATGTAAGACAGCTTGGAAAATCGTTTCACGTAACAAAATGTAAAACGTAAACACTGATAAGAATTGATTTAGTATCAGAAATCCTAAAGTATAGGGCAAGTTTGTTTCAATTGTTTATGTATGACTTTGTATTATTATAGACTTTGTTCTTGTTGTTTAAATCTTTCCCATGCATTGTATGCGAAAGTTTATTAGTTAAATTAAGGTTTGTAGAAGTTCATGATATAAAAAAGAAAGCAAATAATTTTCATTAGCGTCCTGTACGAATTAAATTTATTTCTTTTCAAAGTGCGAGTAATAAGTTGAAGCTGAAGAGTTTGGTATCGGCAAAAGTAGCTGATTTCAATTCACATTTAAATACTTTTACGTAGAGTTTCGTTTTGAATTTTACATTAAAATAAAGCCCATGGAAGACAAAATAATATACCTACTTTATATATTTTAGAATTTGATAGTTCTGCACTTAAAAATGTTCAAGTTTCATCTATTGTTTGCAGGTTTGGCCAAAGAATTAAAAAACAAGTATCGTGTTGCCATGACTAACATGACATGAGCAACGCGAGCCTGCGTCCAGTGTTGGCGTAATTACGAATACTTCATGTTGAAACAATGTTTGGAGAATATAGGCGAGGGGCTGGTGCATGCATGTATTTCTAGTATGCTATGTAATTTGAAAAAAACAAGCTGTTCATGAAATCTATGGTTATGTTTGACCTGCCTCGTCCCTCGTCGCTTCAGTTCCGAATAGAGATCAGTGTGTGAACAATGAGCGGGGATAATGGAAATGCGATGAAACGTGAAGCGACTCGGAAATCGCGCATCCAAGATGGCGTCCGTTGTAATGGCGGACGTTGAAGAGAATAATGCAAATAGGGAGGCTTTTTCAAGGCCGTTATAACACAAGGCATTTATGGCAAATAAAGTTGTTTGCCCGATGCCCAGTGCGTCCAACATAAGTTGTTTTTTGAAAATAATGACATTTTCGTATGTCTCATAAAAACAGATGACAGACCAAGATCTGTCAAATTCTTATTCGTTCATGAAGCGTATGTATGGTGAGGAAACAATGAAAAATATTTCCTATATACCGCAGAAAAGTACGAAGGTATGTTCATTTACATTTTACATATTTTACGCTAAAAAATGTATCAATTGTCGCAATTTAATATATGCGCACATTTAAAAATATGAATCTTAAGTTATTTAAATTAATAAATAGTGGTTCTTGGTTCAATGTTTCTTGAGGAGGAAAGGTTCTTTCTATATTTGGCCAAGATCCGAAAGAAGTTGCCAAAATATATGGAATGTTTCTTTTGGATTCTGACAAGCTAAAGACATATGCGAATTGAAATAATTCCTGTCGAATCTCGGTACTTTAGCCTTTGGGAGAAGTATGGTATACGCATGAGAAAATGGAAAGCAACGTCCAGGGAACTGTCGTTGTTGCTGAATGCAATTTTATACAGCAGGTAATATGTGTTTTAACATTAATTTTGTGTGTGCTAAAATAATGTGTGGATTATATTCGCATGGTATTAATTTAAAGAAATATATATTCAAATGGCAGGTTCGTTCGAGCATTAACATTTTTGATTTGGGCTACAAAAATTATGAGCACACATTCTCCATAAAATTTCCGTCTTTTACCTAAAGTTGTACACTGTTAAAAAGCGACATTCAATTGACCCCCCCCCCACCCCACCCCCCCTGCAGTTTAAAACATGAATCATTGTGCTGAGTATGGTATTTAACACTTGGCTGCAGCTGGCGAATCCAATTTTGTTGTTGTAGAAATAAAAAAGGGCTGGTTTAGTTTAGCAGGTTTGCATGCATACAGAATGGTTAGGGTTTTATTAAAGTTTAGATTGTCTTATTCATTGTAGACGTTCCAGATAAATATTCTGCAAATCTTTACGAAGGTTTGGTAGGATAAGCAAGTTTGCCTTGTCTTTAGCTTCGTTTTCGTCAAAGCCTTCTGCAGTGAACTTCTGCGTTAGTTCTTCGAATTCCGATAAACTCTGTAGAGCTGCCTCAGCTTTTAAAGTAGCCCATGGATCGCTTTCGTATTCATTACCTACTTCACTACTAGTATCATCTACATTATCACAATCACTTTCTGACGCAGAGTCAGTTTCCACTTCGTTGTCAGTGTTATACGAATTCTCAACATCACTCTCTGATGTAGCACCATCAGAATCTGCAGCCGTTCTCATTCTTTTCATCTTTACACTGAAACCTGTAGTACGTTTGCAACAGTACTGCATTTCCTTTGTATATTGTTAGGTTGAAACAACTCCAACCACAACCAACAAGCAAATGATCAATTTTTTGAACAACATTACATTTTATGAAGCGGCCTTACGGGACTTATCTATGGCCTTGTGTCCCGATGGTGATTGGCTGGGACACTTACCACCAAGCCTCCCCACGAATAGGATTCTAGAGAATCGGACCACAAGCAAATAAAAAAGGCCCTTGGGACCAATGCGAAAAGTGGCCTTAAGCGACTTTTCTACGGCCTTGTGGCCCGATTGGCTGGGACACTTCCCACCAACAGGGTTCTAGAGAATCGGGCCACAAGGCTGTAGAAAAGGCCTTTGGGATCAGGTTTCGCATTGGCCCCAAGGACCTTTTCTACGGCCTTGTGGCCCGATTCTCTAGAACCCTCTTGGTGGGAAGTATCCCAGCCAATCGGGCCACAAGGCCGTAGGAAAGGCTCTTGGGGCCACTTTTCGCGTTGGCCCCAAGGGCCTTTTTTATGGCATTGTGGCCCGATTCTCTAGAATCCTATTGGTGAGTAGGCTTGGTGGGAAGTGTCCCAGCCAATCACCAATCGGGACACAAGGCCACAGGAAAGTCCCTTAAGACCACTTCATCCCCGAGCCAACGGCGCGGAACGCCGTTTCGGGCCTAAGCCCGGGGCGAGGGTACTAATTCCCCCGGCTATATACACCCGGGGAAACGAAAGCATTAGCGAAGTCTAAAGTTCAGCAATGATCGCGTGCGCTCGCCGACGATCTTGAGTGAGTGGTCATCCTCAATGATGTAAAAAATATGGCTGATTGCTTGTAGTAGTGGGATTAGTCTCCTGCGCAGACGTTGTTAGTGGCCGAGGCCCCACCTAACGTCTGCTCACATTCGCTACACATTTGACTTCCCGGCAATTAACCAATCACAATTATATACACGATATTTGGAACATCGACTATCACTGACCTTCACATGCATGGGCTACTTATCTGTAGTATTTTTAAATTTGAAAGTTTTAATACTACGCATCAGGCTTTTCATTCTATTATATAAACGAAAAGAAGGATGTTTTCGTAAATCTCACAACAGGTGCAGGAAATCGCTTATTTATTACGCTGTTACCGAAGCTATTCGATGTAATATTCGGATTTAAATATTTAAACAAATTGTAAACATGTAGACATTATTTTAGTAATCGTTGTTTCGCCATTGATAAAGCCCCGTTTACACGAGCAATTTTTATTTGCCCGTGTAGACGATCAAAATTGGGCAATTTTTGTGTGACAAATACAGTTGCGGAAAAGCTAGCGCGTTAGCTTTTCTGTGACAAATAAAAGTTGTCACATACGAAAATTTGCTCGTGTAGATTATTCATCACATAAAATGTCATATTTTTTCTACCGCCATATTTATAAAGGTATAATCAGTGTCCGCGCCAATCCGCGCCATGTTTTATTGCGCGAGATACCGCTGTTCATATATATTTCTTAAACAGGAATCAAGTGCATCAACAATTATTTGTTGTCTCATCTACACGACCAAATAAAAATTGGTTGTGTAAACGGGGCTTAAATTCAATGCGAGATCAAGTTAAAAAACTACACGATCTACAGTAGGAATCAGTGCTGTGTCAATATTAAGTGGAATCGAGAGTGATGAAGAAGCGAAGGCATTGTATCGAAGTATTCTGTATTATATGGCACAGCATGCAGAGTCATTGTTGAAGACAAAATGAATAGCAGAATGTTTGTACTTTGCCTTTGGCTATTGATGCATGAAGCTCATGTCAGTATGTATTATAATAATAAACCCTAAACATGTGTTCGCATTTGAAATTCTCAAAGCCACAGGAATCGATCGGTTTTGATCATTGTAATAGTTGTTATTTTATATTGTCTTGAATTTTTCTTTTTATACGTTGCCTCGTATTATCGGCTATATGCATATTATATGAGCCATTCTGGTTAATAACATACATACCTCAACCCTCTGATGTAAACCCTTCATAATTGAAATGCTCATATAAACTTGACTAGTACTACATGCAACAGCTAGGTAATGTAACCTGAGTATCAGGCCCTCGGTATTGAAGAGAGCCTGACACAATTCGCCTCTACGGGCTTTCCACCCCCAGAATATCAGCCAATTAAAATTATTTCCGGTTGTAGCATATTTCCGGTTGTCCGCTACAGGCACAGAATAAGGCACAGGTATGTAAATACGCAAATTTCGTTATTTGCAGTTTTGTATAGATTTGAATAAATACGGAGAAAAATCGGTATGTTTTTGTCGAAATATCCACATGATAGAATTCTAAGCGTAAACTATGCCTCATTCGGGGAACCATAACTCGGTGGCTTTTTCCAGGAGTCTAAAGAGACAACATTCGGCGCTCTGAATAGGATTTCTTCTTCCTCGGTCCTCGTGTCATGTTATAAATAGTTTATTCGAGACAGCTATTCGTTTCAACTGCGTCTGACACAGTGGCTATTGTCTTCAATTTCTGCCTGATGTTGGCATATTAGTTCGAGCGAGCTGACTACTATATCCTTGCAGGTCTTGGAAAACAGCTCGGCAATAAACTGATAAATATAGACCATGGGCCGACCGCCAAAAAGTCATCGAAAAAGTAAATGGGTATGCGCATATCGAGGAACCACCTGTTTTTTTTAAGACACTTACCTGAAGTATAGATGATTAATTTCCAGATGTATGTCAAATCGGAGATGTGCACATCAAGACAAAAATCGACATTTTGTGCACCCCTGTTCACAAACAACGGCGGCCATATTGGAATTTGAAAAATTGCTGAGCTTGCAATAATTTTTGTTTACAATGTGGCTACTTCATGTTAGAACCCCTAAAAATTCTACCATAAATCTCACTAATAATCACGGTTAATATAATATTACTACGTAAGCGTGAGACATAAATGCTTTCTTTCACCATTTATAGACGTCCATACGCTTAAAGATGTTGTAAAGTCCGTTCTGCGCATCAGTTCTGCTCATAACAGGGGGGGGGGGCAGATATAAACATTGTCCAAATTTTGCATCTTTCTAACTTTTTGGAATAGACCTTTCCCTTCATGAGTGAAATTCTGATCTAGACAAGCCTGGACAAAAATCACAGCTTGAAAGAGCATCACAAAATTAGTAATATTCCGAAGTTTCGTTGCGAAATGTTGTAAAATGCGGATAATATAGCCTTGCGAAGTTTGCCGTTTTTCAATCATTTGGTATTACAAACGCTGGAAATTGATACATCTGATTATCAATTTCCCGTTTGTAATTCAAAATGACTGAAAAACGGCAAACATCGCAAGGCCATATTATCCGCATTTTACAACATTTCGCAACGAAACTTCGGAGTATTACTAATTTAGTGATGCTCTTTCAAGCTGTAATGAAATTTTTGTCCAGACTTGTCTAGATCAAAATTTCACTCAAAAAGGGAAAGGTCTATTGAAACGTCGAGTTTATATTCATTTACAAGCATAGCGAACCAGAAAAGTATTAGATATTCGGTTAGTATATCATATTTTACAAATACAGTATAGAAGTTCAAAATGTAAACAAAGCGTTTGTTTACATTACGGACTTTACAGCATCTTTAAAAAAGATCCTAGTCGCGAAAAGCGAAATTATATTACATGGCATATCATAATGCTCGGCCATATGACCTTATATAAAAATCTTACGAAGACTAATGATCAGGTTCATTCCCAGATCTAGGATGAAAGTAATCATAGTAACCCCCTCTCCTCCCCCCGCACAATCTATTTAATTATTATTCTTAAAAGATATCATCATAGTAAAGCGAGGGACACTAGTGCCACTTAGCGGTACAACGTGTCCTCGTATTTTTATTCAAAAATATGCAGTTTGCTGGCTTGGACCAGCCAGTTCAGCGTGCTTATTGGACAGAACATGCAGTTTACTCGCTGAGCAGCATGCGTAATGCGATATGCGCAAGGACAGAAACTTCAAAGGATCGACGTAAGTGGCACTACTGTCCCTCCCTATACAGCGATATAACTAGCCTAATCAATTAGTTGGCTCTGCTCCACTAGAGTGAAATTATACAGTATGCAAATTATGTTTTCAAAGTCAGAGTTTTACTCGTCGTCCATCATCAATTCATCGTCTTCTTGTTCTGAGCCACTGTCGTCGATTTCGTCTTCAGGTAGATCTTGTTCTTGGTTGTTTGTGCAACCTTGGCATTGACACATCGTTGTGCATGGCAAGTTGTTTTCACTTGAGCATACATAAAAATATTCCTTAAAATTTAAATTTCTTTATCACACAACTTGCAAATGTCAAATTAGGTAGTAAAAAACTATGTCAAATTAGGTAGTAATAAACTCTTATAACTTATAACTACAATTGTAATAAGCTATTACACTATATATATAAGCATTTATTACAATTTAATTTGATATGCTAAGACCTTAGTTGCTAACATTAGTAATATAGAATTAATTAATATTATCTAACCAATTTATTGATTAATCGAATAGATTTCGTTAACAGTGAAGGCCGTGAAGCACAGTTAATGCCTAACAGCTGTAAGAGTCAAAATTTAAGTGCTGTTAAACCAACTAAATTTTATGACAGTGTTTTCAAACAAAATGCCCCCCCCCAGCCTAAATTTGATAACAGTGTTTTCAAATAAATATTCCCCCCCTGGCCTAGGATCCAAAAAAGGCTAGAACTATTTCCTGGTCTGTAATTCTCCCTAACTGTTAAATATTGTCAACCAAACTTCAGCTGGATATCTATTTGTGCTTGGCAGGACATCGAGTCTAAAAGCTGAAGACCTGACATCGTTGAGGTAGATAATAGAAGAAATAATGCATAGTCTTTAATCATGCAAACATCCCTACTTTTCCAATTTAGCCTACCTAACACCAGATATTTTTACTATGCCTAATGAACTGGCTTAATAAAACCCTTTAACACGCAATGCGCCCTACTTTAGTATTTACTTTGTCTAACGCCTGACAATTTTACTCCTCGTGGAGCTAGCAGTCACCAAAATTTGAGGTAAAAATACAATGGTTTGACTCACAAGCATTCACCGAGGACTGTAGATAGTCCCAAAAGTGTCTCCCAAGGCCTGGGTGTTTCGACGCCATTTGCTTAAAGTATTTTTGATGCCATTTGCTTGCAAACCCCCACTATTTCCCAGAACCAGGGGTGGCAGTTTCAATTCTATTGGCTAGTGCATAACAAGCCATACAATTTCCAATTTTCTTTGTCAAGGGAAAAGTCAAGCACATTAACTGGTCAATTTGAGAATTACATATTTCAAGTAGTCTGAAAGGGAGATATTTTTTGTCTCTCATCTCAAAAAATAAAATAAATTTTAAATGACACTCCAAGCAAGACCTTGAAGCCTTGCTAACTGACAACTTCTGTAAATAAAACTTCTGTGTGAATGTGATAGACTACTGGAAAATATACTAACTTCTCGACGAAGAACCTTCGCTCAAAACGTCTAAGTTTTCTCCATATTTTACAGGTAGTCTATCACATTCACACAGACATTTTATCGAAGATTCTACCTATAAATCTGGCACCAATCATTCGAGATGTTACTTCTGTAATAAATACTCTAAAACCCTTCTTGCCCTTCTATACAGCACATCACTTGATTATATTATAGCAAAGAAAACTCACATTTGCTCATACAGTAGTTTTACTACAGTCCGAGGTAAAAATTAGCTTATAAATATTAAGTGTATAAGGTTTCAAAATGGACTGCTATACTAACCTGTTTCGCCAGCTTGTTTGTCTCGAATATATTGCCTCTTTTCTTCTCTGCCAAGCATCAGAGTATTGCAAAATCGGTTGTAGCAATCTCGATGGAACTTGCAATAGGCTGGTATGGGTAAAAAACCGTCTGACGAACTGTTGGTTTCGACAAAGTCAACACCTGATGGCAAGTCATCGAATCTCAAGCCCAGATTCGCCGCCGCTTCGATCGCTATTTCATCCTCTTTACATTGTAATTTTCTCCATTTCACCGCGAATGATACAAACTTACACCATGACGTATATGTAAATGAAGTAAGCTTTTGCTTCGCACTGTTAATGACATGCATTGCACAAAAATCTCTTCTCTTCGACGACTGATTTGCATCAGCCGCCATTGTTTACAAGAGACAAAGAAGCTTTCGATAACAACCCGTGATTGGCCAGGTGTTAAATTCCTTGCTTCCTGATTGGCCGCTACTTAAAAACATGGTGTTGATTTCACTTCAAGGCCGACAAAATTATTCGAACAAATAAAGGCGAATTTCTGCTCAATGTGCAAGTCCAGAGATTGACATACCGGCTAATTTTCATGTTTAGTATGCAGGCAACGCGTTATTTAAAAAATTATTTGGTTCCTCGATGGGCGCATGAAAAATTCACATTTCTTGTGGTCGGCCCATGGTCTAATAAGGCTTCAGCTTTTTGGAACTAAATATTTGAAAATTTCCGACATCCACATATTTTCGTTCTACGGCGACTATTACGTCGAGATATTTAGACACGCTTTCTACTATGACTATGTAGTTTTAGTTTTATACCGAGTAAAATGTTGCTGCAAAAGCGTTTTCAACGTCTTTTCGTACTTATTTCGTCATTTTTAGGCTTAATTAATTGAAAATAAATTTCAGAAATAAAGCACTTTTAACAGTATATTGACAAAATTACAAATTCTATTTTTGGTGTTTACATACGCTGGTCATATATTTCCGGTTTGAATCACATGATGCGTTTTATCGTCTCTTAGCCAATCAGCATAACATCCAGATTCTGGATGTTGAACATGGCTTTTGAGGCGAATTGTGTCAGGCCCTCTTTCAATATCGAGGGCCTGATACTCAGGTTACAGGTAATGACGAGGCAATGTATAAGAAGACAAATTCAATTTAATAGACAATATAAAATATTAAGAACTAATTTAAAACGGCCACAAAGGCAAACACAATTTTAGGATTTATTATAACAGATACCATTTAATATAAGCTTCATGCATCAATAGCCAAAGCAGACAAAGCACAAACCAGTTGCTATGCACTTTGTTGTTAAGCATTTGTCTGAGCCATCGTTCGGTCTTCAACAATGACTCTGCCGTGCCATATAATACAGAATAGTTCCCTTCTTCCAATGCCTTCACTTCTTCATCACTCTCGATTCCACTTAATAATGACACAGCACTGACTCCTAGATCGTGTGGTTTTTTTAACTTGAACTCGCATTGAAGTTATCAATGGGGAAACCACGATTACTGAATGTCTACATCAGCACATGTTTACAATTTGTTTACAGTAAATGTTTAAGTCCGAATATTACATCGAATAGCTTCAGTAACGGCGTGATAAATAAGTGATTTCCTGCGCCAGTTGTGAGATTTACGAAAACATGCTGCTTTTCGTTTATAATATAATGAAAATCCTGATGCGCAGTATTAAAACTTTCAAATTTAAAAATACTACAGACTTGTTGATATAAATAGCCCATGCATGTGAAGGTCAGTGAAGGTCGATGTTTCAATTATCGTGTACATGGTTGCGATTGATTAATTGCTGGGAAGTCAAATGTGTTATGTGTAGCGAATGTGAGCAGACGTTAGGTCAAAGATTAAGTATAGAAAGATGGCCGACTCGCGGAAAATCTTGTTCCCACTTTTTCACTGCGCATGCGTGAGAGTCTGGTAAACGCCGAACCAAATTTTTGTATTGAAGTTAATGGAGAAATGCCGAATTTTCGCAATAAAACAGCGATTTTAAAAACATCTTCCGTTCGACCTTTAATTTGAGGACAAAATTTAAAAGAACATGTCAAGTTGCGTCTGTTAAACGGAAAATTATTACACGAACATGTTTAAAACGAACGAAAATTTGGATAAACGACCTCCGAAGGAGTAAGATCTTATACTGTCAGCAAGTCAGGTGAGATTCTTTTCATTTCTTGATCATTTTGTGAAATTTCGTACCTTATGGACAACGGATGCATATAAGACTGTTGCTAACTGACACTAAGAACATGTTTGGGATGTGTACAACTAAAGATTTTATACACATACAAAGACAATTTTATACTACAGAGTTTGATTGTTCTATTAATAATAAGACCCCACAGTCTGAAACTAAATCTTGCAGTACTTTTAAAGTCTTTCTAATGTCTTGATGATTTTAGCTTAATATAATGTCAAGTGCTATTTGTACAACCTCATACCCAGGGCCTGCCCGCCCGATTTTTATATATGGCCGCCAAAGCGGGCGAGGCCCTGGTAAACGCTGGTCACGCGTCAGGCAAATACTCCAAGATTCTTGGAGTATTTACCTGCGAGAGGGCTTTATGGAAATAAAGACAGGGGAGCGACGAAAAATTCACGAATAGAACTTGACTTGCCACGGATTATTTATATATTTTTTTATTTTTTGTTGTAACCTTTCTTTTTAACATGTTACGTTTATATATATACGTCGAATGTACATCAATCTTCTTTTATATCGCATCTTATAAATCGCCGAGGAGGCGATGTTTCGAATTTCGAAGGAAAATGGAGCCAACCTTGTACATACTAATTTGTGATGATTTCCATCAAGTAAAAGGTACAGTATGAATTATAAAATGTTTAGAAGTATTTTATTGTTACAAATTATTATGCAGATTCCCATTATTTGTTACACTGATTAGCTCTATGAAATATATATTTCGAAGGCTATTTAATATATTTTATACAGTATGCTAATATAGTTAGCTGAATTTGTAGTTTTGTTAAATTTGAGAAACAAATGGCCAGACTATGGCCTATAATACTATACTCAGACTCTCAGTAAAGTTCTACTCTCACATATGATTATTATTTAAACAGTATTATTAAACTACCGTTTACAGCATTATTAACTTCAAATACTTTGTTTTTACATTTACATTTAATGACCTGAAATTATTTAAATGAGCCATTACTGTAATAACAGGGTGGCCAAGTTGACAAAGCTAAAATCTGATCAACCTAACCTGGTAGGATATTTCAATAGTCAAACATCAGTTTCAGCATTTATTCAGCATTATTTAATGTTAGTGAGTTAATGAGTATTTTTAATATCCATGACAACTACAATTGGTCAGGGATTTTTTAGGGAAAAGGTTTAGCACCCCATCGTAAAACCTGCCCCGAATCTCAAAATCTCATTATTTTGTTCCTTTGCCTCAACATTTATATCTTTTGTGCCCTTGAGATCTTTAAAAAAATTGCCTAACTCTGCAGTGTGACGTGTAACCTTGTTGCCATAATTATTTTCTGAAGGCTGATGAGATGGGGGCCATATGTATGAACAAGAAGAAATTATTTCTTCATCTATTGACCCATTTCACCAAATTTTTAAATTAAATTTACTGAATGATTTTGAAGTTTTCTAGATTATTGAAAAGAACTTTGTGGGTACAAGAAATGGGGCAAAAACAGTTGAATTAAGCAAGATGCAAGTAACAATGAACAACACCGGGTCACTGGATGGTATTTCAGCACACTGGTGGACATGCAACCTAATACCTGCAACCTGTGTCACATTTATATAGTTTTACACTGTACTGGAAAAATCATGTCAAGGAATTTGCAGAGATTCAGAATGCACACTCCATGGTTTATTCAATCACCAGCATGCATGAATCATTTTTTGTTATGAATATTTTTTTTAAATTATTCGCACTTTATAGATAATTATATATCAATTTTCAATATCATAAATGAATATATAGTTACAGTAGCTTTTGATTTAGACTTTCCCAAAGTCCTTTCCAGTTGTCGCGGTTCGTAAGTACGCTGGAAAGGAGTTTTCACCCTTGCAGCGCGCCAATTCTACAGGTGGATTTTTTGACCGCGGTGTGACTGGGGGTGTCTCATTATTCTAGCCAATAAGAAGCGCACATTTAAATTATTTGAATTAATTATTCAAATATCGTTACAGTAATTAGGCTTTCGACTTATTTAATACAAGTAAACAATCAAACAAAGTCATTTCAAAGTAGAAAATATGGTTAGTTCTCGAAGATGCAATAAAATATTGGCAACAGAGGCGAACTGTTGTTTAACTGAGTTAATTTTCTAGACAAAACCGGCATTTTTGTCCCTACATGAACAACAAACAACATTTGTGAGAATGTTTAATAATAGTGTAGTTTCACTACAATGAACTCTTTCAATTACTACTCTAATAGTTCAATGTTTTCGCAAACATTCGTCTTTTTATGTCCAGGAAAGAATCGCCGTTGCTTATCTACATCTTCCATGTCTTTGCCGCATTGTAAACACAACGTGATGGTGTCATGGAATTTGGAGAAAGATCGTCTTGAAAATATACTAATATTATATAGTCATAGAAAGAAGTGCAAATATACCGTAAACTTATACGGCATTTTAGTCTAAATTGATAGCACTATTTTCGCTTATGTTATTAACAGTTATTGTCATTATACAATTAATGTGTTCTCAAATTTGAGCCGAGCGGAAATTTACGATTGAAAAGTCAAAGGAAAGCAGTAGCGTAGCCAGCCCGACGATTTAGTCCGCTAAGCAAATATTTTCGTGTTCATTGACTGTGAAAACTATCAATTCCTAAAGAAATGAATAATGATAATAATTTTGAATTTGCATAGCGGGACTAAATTGTCTGGCAGGCTACGCCACTGAAGGAAAGTCTATTTACAAAGTGAGTTGAAATCGACAACTTTTGTGTAACCTGAAGTTCAGGCCCTAATCACAGAATAGGGCCTGACACAAAACCTACCTAAACCGTGGGATTCCCGTCCATCTGGTGGACGGGAAATCTGATTGGTTGATCAGCATCATGAAAGATTTTGATTGGCTGCAAGTTCACATAAACAACAGTTTTAAAAATAGCTCGTTCAAGGGCTCAAGGCGACAATTAATATAAAGGTCAAATCGATTTCTTCGAATTTCTTTTCTTTTATGCTTTATGGCAGAAAATAAATCAAACAAACAGTATTTTGAAAGTGCTTTATCAAAATCTTTGACGAATTTTGGACACACGACGCTGAAAGAACAGCCAAACTAGTCATGTATTCGAAAGCTTGTTGTTGACAGCCAAGATGTTCTGCCAACTGGCTTCGCCGGCAAAAGTCTTATTTTTAA